AGGGGGGAAGGGGGAGGGGTAAGGGCATGGAGTTTAAGGCTCATATCTCATTGTTTTTGTAATTCCTTTAATTTCAGTTTACCTGTGAGGAATAATTTTTTAACCATCATCCTTACGGTTTACTGACCCACACACAATTTTAAACGGGTAGCAAAAACTCTTGGACTATTTACTGAAATGAGTGTGAGATTCCCCTCTCCGACACAAAAATTAGATATAACTAAGTAACCCGAAATTGTCTGTAATACTCACGATGCACAGTATTGCAATCTGCTTGGATATTGGTCGTGTCTACTTTAATTTTTTCCCCTCAAACTGGGTTCTCTCGGCTATCTTTCAAAGTCTTTCTAAACCATTTTACCTTATAACTACTGATTTCTTTTCCCTGAATTCTAATCTTGACGAAAAAGCCGGGAGGACAGAAACAAAGGAGAATTGGACTAGCATATAACAATGTCTTTATGTGGCAAGGCAGGCCCATTTGTTTCTTTACATTCTTTAATTTTTTCATGCTTCCCTTACCGATGCTAATGACGTAGGTTTTTCTTACTCACCTACAAATCAGTTGAGTTTACGGGGGGAAGCAAATCGTTACTCACATTAAACCCAATCCATGTAAGACCAAAGTTGAATTACTCCTTTTTTTTAAGAGTAAATGTGTGATTTTATACCCATGTCTTCTATCTGTTTGGACTTTCCTGTTTTATTACTCCAACTTGATCAAGGAGCTAAAATTGGTTCTATACTCTTTGTTATAACAGAATTGGCTTTGGAATTTTGAGTCAATTTTTCACTCCCCGATTAGTTAAAATGACGTCCCAAACGGCAATGTATACATACAGGGCCTCAGATTGCCACTTTTTGGTTTGAATGGTTGGGTGCCTGGTGGGGGAGGGGTCTAGGTCGATACCATCTAACTACAGTGTTTTTAGAGATTTATGATTTCGCCGATCTGTTTGCAAATGATTCTACGTATTTGACGAATTTTTCCCATATTTTTACATTTACAGAGGTTTGAATCTTTTCTTCAACAGAAGGGCCATCTCTACAACTGAAGCAATCAATCACAGTTTTATTGCTTGTTTTCTGAATTACAAAGAAACTGTAAACAGGCCTCATAATATGTTGCATCGTAAAACCACAACAAGCTGGGGCATAATCAGGGTCCATATTAATAGCTAAACATTTTGATACACTAGAATTAAAAAAAAAAAAAAAAAAAAGAAACAGATATGGGTTTATAACAAAGATCACGGTTAATTGAAATAAACAGACTCTCACTTAACCTGAAGCTAGAAGCATTTAGGAAGCGGGGGTTTTAATATCTCAACAAATTTACGAATGTAATTCGATTCTGATCTGTGGTTCTCATGCATAGTTTGATCGTCCGGTTAAGAGCATACTTGGAAAAGACTGTTGTCGGTAGTAGTGACTGACGTTTCAACAGCCAGAGCGGAGGTCGTCATCACGCGGGTTAAAATAACTTGTTTGTGAGGTAAATATTGTGCATAAATCGACCATAACACTCTCGGTAGAGAGTGAATTGAGCTTAGACCCAAGCCTCTTGCGTGGCCGCGTCCAGTCTGTACGTCAAACAGCCACAGGCAGAAAGAAACCAACTTGAAAATGATGGTAGAAACGCTCGTTTTCAGCGTCCAGCGCGGATATTTTTGGAATTGAGACACTTTCCAAGGATGCAATGAACTTGTTGTCAAAGAGATGGATTCTCTGGGCTTAAACCGCCTCCGCTTTGAAAACTGTCAAAATCGTAGTGCCTTGACTTCCTCTGATAACAGGAAAAGCAGTGGCAAGGTAAGCCCAAAACGCCGGAAATCGCCAAAAAACACAACAGAAATACAATAAGTGAGTCAGTGTGTAAAATTTTCACATTTCGGAATATTTAGTGTTGTAAATGGACCATATTTCAATGCCCAAAATATTCTATATAACGCATTCAAATTCTCAACGGGTCCTCGCGTAACTTAACACCACGTCAAGTAACGCGTGACGCTTTCAAGAATTAGTCTTTTGTTTTTCCTCGAGACGTGAGCTTGGGACTCCTGGGGTATCAAGAGTGAATAAAACAAAAAAGAAAAATTAACAAAAGCGTGGCATGGTTAAATCTATAGCCTTCTATTAATGTGGATTGGATGGGACCCTGAAAACCATGTGCTGACTCTAAAAGGTCTCCTCTCTTTAGCCCTTCATTCTAAATCATTTAGATTTTGCCCAGTTCCCTTGACTGCAATACCTTGACTACTGGGCCAGGTCATTAAGGTCTGACCTGTTTTGTATGGTGCTAGGTTTGAGCCAGGCGGTGTGTGCACTCTGATTGCGTTGCAACATGGTCGTAAAACAAAAATTGAGTCATTTGCATCTTGACGCGTTGGAGTGAACATCTTTGGTGGTAGCGAGATACGGCGTGAATATACGTTGATTGTAATGGGGACTCACTGTCTGTTGCCATTCCTTTGAAAGTTAAAACGTTTGACGGGCCTGCGCGACTCCTGTCATTCCTCCGTGAGGAATTCGTTCTTAGGAGGCAACTGACGTTCTTTAGAAAGGTTCGAAACTGCAATCTGCCTAAGAATCTCGACACAAATGGCAACAGTTACACTAACAAACCGATGGCGGGATGAATAATTTCAAAGTCAGTAATTATATTCCTAGACGCGAGTTATTGAACTGTGAACTGACCCTTGACATGCAAACGCATATTAGAGAGACAGAGAACTTGTAATACACGAACTCTTTCCACCGGGCCGAGCGTAAATACGGGATTTTAAAAGGAGAAGCCCCGCACCTCCTAAGAACGAATTTGTCGCGGTCCGCCTATTGTAAAACGTACAGAGTTTCAAAATACCCTTCGCGAATAGAGGAAACCTATATGACGGTTTTGAGGGACGTATCTCTGGAATTATTACTTCAGGAGCAAAGTATACTCTGGAACAAAGAAAATAGCGCGCGCACAAAAGAAAATATTGTCTTTTGTAACAGAATCTCATCCGGCTTTGCCAAACTTCAAGAACATTTCGATGTAGAATTATGACACCTCAAAACTGACCCTAATTATCACATC